TTTTTTTTTTTATCCTCATGTGCATGGAGTTGGATCTTCTCTGCTGTGACATGCCTGCATCTGTGCACAGTGCTAGCTAGCCTTCTGTAGTACTCCCTGCCCGGGCTGTGTGATTTGAACATAGCGTGCTTGTCTTGCATGTTTAGTGCCCTGCAAAGCACTGCTGTTTCAGATGCATGAAACAGCCAGCGAGCCAAACCCAAGTCTTGTCCTTGTCTTTACCAGATGTGCCAATACACATCCTCTCCTTAAGGAAGTTGTTTTATTTTTTTTTTGGTTGGGTGTCTTAATTTGAAATGCCTATTTTTTTTTCTGTTTACTGGTCTTAAAAAGTTAAGAGACAACAAAGGGAGTTTAGACGTACGGCTCGACGTGCCCTTAGATGCAGCTTCACCTTTTTAGCCATGAGTTTCTTTTTCACTCATCACACGTTCGCACGACACACTGAGCTTCATGACATAGCTTTGCTGTTCACACATTTTAAAAAACAACAGTATATTATGTGTCCGTGTACTGTAGATGTCAGCTGTTGCATTGCATTTTCCTCGTCTTGCTCTCGTGCTCGTTTTAAAAGTGAGGATGAATGGTTTGTGTATATAAACAAAGTCAGTTCAGTGTGCAGTGAAAATCCCACACACTCATGCTCCTGCTGTGCTTGAAACCCCCCTCACAGCTGCTGCTCCTTGGTCCTGAGTGAGTCCTGTGTGTGCGCTTTAGCCTTAAACATTTCAGGCCAAAAAAGCTGTCGGCTCTTCGGCCTCACGTGCTCGTCCTCCTCTGCTGGACTGGACTGTGCAAGAAGAAGAAGAAGAAGAAGCAGCAGAGGAGTGCAGCTACAGTTCACACCTGGTCTGTCTGCTGTCATCCCCGTGCTGTGTGGCTCTCGGCGAGCCCTGTTTCCCATTTGCTGTATTTTTGCTGTGAGTCGAGTGGCACCTTTTTTTTTTTTTTTTTGCTGTTTTGAAACTGGTGACGTGTTCAAAAATACGAGTGCCCCCGACCGAGGTTACCAGCAGCCATGTTGGTCGTGTGTGTCGACTTTAGAGTAACAGGTATCCCTCAGTGTGTGGTGTTATTTGCATGTGATCAGGGCGGGAAATAACCAGCACCAGCCAGGCGGTGTCGTTTGATCGTGGCTACAAATTTCATCTCATTCTGGCACAGTGATAAGCTTTTCAATCCTCACTTGCATTTCAAAAGAACTCCTTCCTTTTCGAGGGGGGGTGAAGACTCAGTCACTGTGGCTGGTGGAGAAAATAAAGTTAATTTCCCGTCCTGCATGTGATAACTGTGGGCTTTGTTTTCATCCAGTATAATGCACTTTAATCCATCCACCTCTCTCAAGATAGTTATTGAAATGACATATATAGATGTGCAAATGTGTATACACTCAATGCAGGGTTTTAGTCTCTTTAAAGTAGTACTTCTATGGGATGTCACATCCAACACAATGCTATTTTTGTTAAAGTCTAAGGGTACAGCTATTTATTATTTTTTCTTTTCAAAACCAAAAAAAAAACCAACAAAAAAAAAAAAAAGCGTTACGGGGTGTGGAAGGTCTCAGGAGTTCAACAAAAAGCCACATTTTAAAAATGGCAGCACCAAAATTTCTGTTCTTAAGGTCAGAATTGATTCTATGCAACATTTTTTCCCCTTTTTTTCTTTCTATATTTTTTCGCCGTTCGGGCTTTGATTGATCCTTGTCGGGTGGGAGGGGGGCTCGTGCATTCAAGCTGATTTTTAAAGGTGCAAGCCCTCGACGGTGTCCCCATTCAGCCATTCTGTTTATACACCCTGCTGCGGTGCTACAGAGCAAAGAACCTCTCTCATGTGGGTGAAATAAAAAAAAAAAAAAGAAAGGACCATCCATTTGTCATCCGACTGCCCTCACGGAGAGAGAGAGAAAAAATAAAAATTAAAAAAGGCCACACCTGGACTTTTTGGTGCATGTCGAGCCCGTCTGTCAGTTTCGCTGCTCTGTGGCTCGAAGACGTCAGGAGGCGTACGGAATATAAACAGATTAGCAACGATGAATCAAATCTGAAGGCTTTGAGGGAAGCTGCTGGACGATGTGATAACACTGTACTTACGATGCTGTATAAATGGAGAGAAAGACTTATTTTAAATCTTGTAAATAAAAAAAAATGTACAAAGGTGAGAGCAAGATAAATATAAGAAGAGAAAAAAAATCTGAAAAGTCTGAACTGTAGAGAGAAATTAATCTGTATATTGTTGAATAAATATTGTGCCGTAAAGGATCCCAGTGTGAGAGTCGTGTGTGGATCGTCATCGCTCATCACCACAGTGTTCACCTGAACTCATATCCACAGTTTCATGTTCAATGCATGTAACAGAAGTGCAGTTTTTATCCTATAAATGCAGCAGAGATGATCTGTTTTACTTCCTCTCTGTCACTTTAGCACTGAAACAAAGTGAAGTCTTCAGATATTCACTGTGAAACCATTTAAACAAACATGTAAATTGTGCATCATCACAGTCTCGCCATCTGTCCTGATTATGTTAGTCGACCCTGCAGAGCTGACTGTGTGCACAAACGTTGAAGAAACATGTTAATAACGCAGCCATAAGAGGAAGACTTGGTGTTATGGGCTTCAATAGACAACACACATGTTCCCAATAAAGCGTGTGTGTTTGAGGCACCATGTGGACGTAGAAAGAAGAGTTTTGTCTGTTAATCTTTTATTCATTTATTCACTTTAAAATATTTAATGACTGCAGGTCAGAATAAAAAAGAATATGAAGCTTCTGTTTGAGTATCACTCCTCAAATAAGCAAGGCATCCAAAAATCTTAACGAAAACTTAACTATATCGTAGCAACGTCAGCTCAGACACGTGGCTTAGTTGCTGTAAAAATCTGTTGTAGATTTATAGAAGAAACTATAACCAGACATGGTAATCTGAATAAACCACCTTCAGCCCACAGACTACTGTCAACATGCACAGACAGGACCCAGCGTTTCCAGAAAGTGGAATAAAAAGCAGATTAGAGGCGCTGTAGGCGATAATAAAAGCAGCTTCTGTATGCTAATACTCAGGAAGGTGCATGTTTGTGTTTGGAAGAGCAGGTTTGTGCTCATTCATCATGAGATGAGCTCATAGGCTTTATGCCGCCGCTTCCTTTGACTCCACCTGCTGCTGTCAGCCATGTCTGATCATGAATGAAGCCTGACAGCACTCTTTGTTTTTACATGTCTGAGGATGTTTTGGATCATTTTCTGGTTGCTCTTGCTGAGCTGTTACGTCAATGTACAGTATGAACTTGGGGAAGGTCATGTGTGAGCTTTGGGTTTACAGCTGGAGCTGTGCTGCCCCCAAGTGGTCAAAGGATCAGCTCGTCCTCAGATGTATTCATAACCTTCCATTAAAGAAAAGGCAAAATGCACAATAGTCACTGAAATAAGTAGAAACTGAAAAAAGTAATAATAAATAAAAAATTGCTAAATTATAGTTTAGTGAAATAAGACGTTGCTTTTGAATTGTGGTTAAAAACAATAATTTAAAAAAAAAAACTGTCCCAGACAAACTAAAGCACTTTGCGGATGAGCAGTCAAATCAAAATACCTGTCAACAGGTGCAGAAGTCTGATTAAGAGTTACAGAAAACACCTGATGGCAGTGATTGGCTCAAAGGGTTGTTCAACAGAATATTAGTTTATGGGTCCATCATGCTTGTTTTTTGTTTTGTTTTCTTTTGTTTTTTAAATATTTCTGTTGAACCATAATTCAGAAGCAATGTCATGATTTTCATTAAATTTGTACTTTTTTCAATTTCAGCTTATTTCAGTGACAGCTGTTATTTAGCGTCAAATAAATGTGAGGATGACTGTAGGCTCTGCAAAGTAAACTTTAATCCATTAGTAATAGAAGTATTTTTTGAATTGAGAATTCACACAGTTTAATAAATCAAATAAAG